CAATACGGAATTCATATAACACGGAATTATCTACAGTGTTATAGGGGGTTTACTGTACGCGCAAGGACACTAAGTATATTAGTATTTAATTTTCAGATATCTAGAAAAATATCTTTGATTGAAGATTTTATTTTTCCAAATCTGGAAGACAAAAGTTTTGGTCATGCATTAAAATGGGAAAATAGAAATACGGGAACATTCGTAATGTTTTGGCCTCATAAATCGAGAAGAAAATGGAACGAAACAGATTTCATTGTTTTCGCGGTAAGATCAGTATTTATTATTAATTAAAATGTTTTTAAAATTGCTGTTTAAAAATAAGTTAATAATTATTTTAATTAAAATAAATCTGTAAAATATAAAGGTTTTACAAATTCTTCTAACTTTTATCGCCATCTGTAGTTCTAAAAAATAACTATTCCATTTTTAATTCCCCCTTTTTTTTTTTTTATTATAGGAATGGGACAAAAAGAAAGGTAATTATAAACCAAATAAGCATGGATATTGGACTAATGCTAAAGGAAGACTTCGTTCTGCATTTTGTAGACTATCAAACAAAATAGAATTTTTAGGCAAAGTTTCTAATTCAATGCCATATAGAAGATATCGTCTAAAAAATATTGAGGGTAAGAGATATCAGATAGATACGTTAATATAACATTAAAAAAATTGAATAATCAAAATATAATCGTAATATTTTCAGAATTAATCCGTTTATCAGATAATACGTCACAATTACCGACAACAATGGTTTCGGATTTCGAAAGTATTTTACCAACAGAAGAACACCTCAATCTCTCGTGTATTAACAATCCCCCTACTTTGAACGGGATGAGTAATGAATGTAGTAATTTAAATAACAACGAGAAAAACATTCAGTATGAATACGTTCTTCCATATCCACAAATAAAGGATGAGAATGATTCCGATTATCGCCAACATACAGAATACAATTTAAATAGTTTTACGTTAAATTTCGTAAGTTTATAATTTTATTTAAATGTTAAATTAAATTCGGCCTATCTAATAAAATAATTAAAACTAATTTTATAAAACAGGATACGGATTATATCTCTTCTGAAGGTATGTATCGCTATCTTAGATTTTTCTCTTAAGAATATGGAATGATGTGGACTACAACTATTCGTAAAGTTCGTAATTAATTATTTTCTTTTGCATTTTAATAGACAAATGGTTGATGAAACTATACAAATGCATGAATTGGAAAATTATCATTTTGCTTGCAAAAATGTAAGCAATATAATCATTATATAAGCTATTTTTACCTAAAATAGTGAACAATTTTATATTGCGTTATTGAATATAGAATTCAGCATAGAAAACAAGTAGGACAAATGTTTATTAAATACTTTTCTTCTATGCATCATTACTTACTCACTTCTATCAATTTATTTATTTATTATTTTTCATTATACATTTAAAGAAAAAAAAACTAAAAAAAAGATGCTACAGTATTAGTTTTACTGAATTATTTTATTATAATATATTAAAATTATATTTTCTTATTAATAACATAGAGAAAATTTTGATAAAATTTAAAATAATTTAAGGTGATTGAGATAAAACCTGGCCATTTAAGTGTTTGACGTATGTTAAACTCATAATATATGATGGCCAGCTTTCTACTTCAATCACCTTATTTTTATACATATATAGGCTATATAAAATTTTAAAATAGTTAGAATTATTCTACAATTACTATAATAATATTTTAAACTGATATAAATTTTAATATTTTATATTTTCTCAAGCTCTCAATCCTCAATCATTTAACAACAAAGACGATTTAACATCATATCATAACGAATACCTCATGATGAACACATTATCTTCCATCATCGATCCTGAAGTTTTGCAACCTTCTGCATCCTCCGAATATCTACGAGAAGAAACCAATGATTTAATATTACTTACTAATGAAATCTGTAAAGATGCCAATAAATAGCATAATTTTTTTTAAATCGTATACAAATTCATTTTTTTCTCCTGTAAAATTCTGTATATATAATGTAAACAATTAAAAATATCATATTTATATAAAAAATGTATAAAAATTTTATTTAAATCAGATTGTTACTGTAAAAAAAGTATATTGACATTTAAAAATTTGCATTAAAATATTTTAAAATAAGAATATTTTCAGGATAATTTAATTATTTTGATGAATTTATTTGAATTATAAAATCAAATAAACTATTCAAAATTTTGTTATCAGATTATTTTAGTTTTATATTTTAAAACGAAGACAATTTATTGTTTTGATTTTACTAACGGGTCCTTTAAAAGTGTTAAATTAATTGTTTAATGAATTATTTTTCGAATATTAAGTATATACGATTAGCAACAATTCTAAAATTATAAAATTATTATTGTCTGCAAAAACATTTTACAGTATATCAATATTTAATACATTATATATACAGTGTGAGTCAAAAGTCCTTTGCATCCTTTCCATTCCAAAGACACTGAAGTTACCTTAATGTTTTTAATGTAGTTACATAGGAAGTCATGAATAGAGAATTGGATGAGACTTTTCTTGTTAAATTTGAAAATAATTTTCTATGTCACTTATGTTGTAATTTTTTAATGAGCAGAGATAACGCGTAGTTAAAGAGCACCGTGTTACTAAACATTGTATCCTTTTGCATAGAAAATAATTAATGTGGAGTGTGGTTGCATTCTAATCGCACACATGCTGCATAGCGATTGCTCACGCTGATTGTAATGTTTATTAGTTCTACGAGAGCAAAGTCCATTCTTAAATTTCTGCAGTGTTCTTGGTGGAAGCTGATGAGATGCAATTCGTCTTCATGGAGCATCCCGCACATGTTCTATGCGATTTAGGTCTGAAGATCTTGCCATCCATTCATGCGACGAATTTCTTCACTGTAAAGAAAGTCACTGATGAGTTCAGACTTATGTATGTGAATATTTTCATCTATCAGAATGAAATCTGCACCATGACACTCCAGAAAAATCTTACAAGGGATTTCAAAACTTCATTTCTGCATTTTCTTGTAGTAATAGCAACCTCTTACATAAACGTGGAACTCAGTGCCCTGTTATTAAGCATATTTCCGCTTTAGATCAAGATACATAAAATCATTATCAAACTGGTCTCTTTTTACGATGTTCATGTTTTTATCAGTGATAAACGCGTTGAAATTTATTCCGCCGACTATTTCCATTATACTGCATTTAATTTATAGTCATTGCGCGTTAAAACAATCAAAACAAGAAAATATTTTAAAATTAAGTCATTTTTTGAATACAGGTGTCTTATTTGTAAGGAAATCATACTAATTGCGATGATAGGATTCATGGTTTATGTTTATTAATTAAGTTATAAGGCAATGCAACTCATGGGTGATCCATCAAGCAAAGGTATTTTTCACGAGGATTTTCTAAGAGAAATTGGCTCCTTTTTAGATATGTAAGAGAATACCCGAAAAACACCACGTGGTCAACTCGTTGATTAGGAACGAACCTGCAACTAACTACCTGTGTTCAATTGTTTTATTCACTCGGCCATTGGTGGTCCGCTAATCGTGAGAATTGTACATTTATATAGCCATGTAATAATAGTAATCATTAAGTAAATAAAAACCTCATAACTGCCAATTCTTTACATTAAAAATGTCCAAATTTTATATGTCTATAAAATTTTTAATCCAAAGAATATTCAAATTTCAAATTTTACCTTCTTCTATGAATTAAAGTATTAAAGTATCAATATTTAAATAAAAAGTCGTCAAACATGCGGTTTATACTTTTATTTAATCTGATAAAGTAGATTGACAATTGCATGTAAAAATGAAAATTTTAAATGTTTTTCTTCTTAAACAGAAGACTTAAACGTTATTTATGCGAGAATTTAGATAATCTCATTAATTTCCAAAACAATACTTTATTGGATAGATATTTTGTCAATTTTTCACTACTCGTCTTTTTTTATTTGTCCACTAATCTAGTTCTGTTTCCATTTCTCTCAATTCTAGAAGTCTTTGTCTTTTCTCTTCTAGCAGTTTTTCTCGATATTTATGGATATAATCAGTGATATTAGGTATCTGATTTATTCTGCAAGCAGCTAATGCCGAACGAAAAATGTTCATGTCGGTTGCTTCGTACCACTGATTAGTTGCTTCGCTGTAACACTCGACTCGACATATGATACTCTCTCCGTTATATCCCCCGATGGCAAATATCATATCGTCGATAACTTCTACAGCAAAGTTACTTCGTGATGTTGCCATATCGGGTACTTCTGACCACGTATCATTACGAGGATTGTACTTCTCAACAGTTTGTAATCTTTCCAAGCCATTGAATCCACCCAGAGTATAAACGCAATCGTTGAAAGCGATGCAAGATACACCACTTCTTCGGCTGCTCATATTTGAAATTAGAGTCCATTGATTAGATTGCGGGTTGTAACGTTCGGCCGAATCAAGGCACTGTTGTCCTGTAAAACCACCGATGATATAAATGAAACCGCCTAGAGTTGTGGCATCGGCATCGCTTCGTTGCATATGCATTGGTGCCATCATCGTCCACTGATTTGTTCTACGATCGTATCTCTCGGCGGTATTGTGACGATGCATCCCATTATATCCACCCATAGCGTATATAAGATTGTCTAGTACAGCTACACTCACATAGCATCGTCTGCAATGCATCGGAGCAATCTCTTTCCACTGTTTTTCGATGGTATCTAAACAGCGGCATCCGCTATAATGATTCGTTCCGTCAAATCCACCAATTATGTAGATATTATGATCTATTACTGCACATCTGTGATAAGCTCTTGGACCAGCAGGATCAACTTCATTCATCTTTACCCATCTGTCTGCTCTGCTATCGTATGTCTCGATGTAATCGGTTGGAGAACCAGAACTCCATCCCCCTATAGCAAAAATTATTTCGTGAGGGATGCGAGGCAGAGCCAAGTCTGGGGTTAGAATTTCTTCGGATCTCTGGCTTATGGTTTCCAAATCGTTTAGAAATTTTAATGTTTCCGTTATAAGAGGATAACAATCTTCGTTTTCTGTGACGTATGGATGTGTTTTCACAGTTCTCATGAAAAAATCAGAATCGAGAAGCCCTAGACGTATGCATTTCAATAAATCAGGCATATGTTTCTTCCTCTCTTGTGGATTTATGTTTATCCATCGCAATACAGTATCCCAAACTAATTCTTCTTCTTTAACATTTAATTCTTCACAATTCAAGACGTTTATCAGTTCTTCGGTTGTCATTTCCATCAATTCTTCATTCTGACTTGAGACTTCAACATAATTTTTCATTAAATACTGATGAGCCGATTTTTCTAAGGTGATATTTCTATAATATTTTCCTATATTTTTAATAGAAATGCAATTTTTCGAATCTAAATGATGTATCATATAGGAACAACATTCCTCCATTAATTCTGAGAACAAATACTCATCAGCGGCAACAAAAATTTTTTGAACATTTTCTGAGTTCAGTTCGATTTTTCCACAATAAAGATAATCTATGATGTGTTGAAGGGTTTCTTTGTCGATATCTTCTAATGGAACTTCTTTTCTTTTATCTCCATCCGTTGTATTGATGAATAATATTTCAAAAAAGTAGGAATTAGCAGCCATGATGCATTTATGAACTGGAAACTTTTCTCCTTCTGTCTTAAGGATTACATCACAAAATATGCCTGAATCTTTCATTTTTTTCATAATATTTAATGAATTTTGGCTAAACGTTCTTCCTACTTTTGAAGACATTTTCCTTCAACTTTTCTTAATTCTTCTGATGTCAATTGTTTTCAATAAATAATAAGTTTATTATTGTTGTAATAATTGTAAACGTACAACAATTGCTTTTGCCAATATTTTGCATAATTTATCAAATATTAATTTACTTACTTTAAATTTAAGGATGTGGTATTTACTACTTGTTAATTCATTTTTGTTTAACGTTGAAAAATATTGTGTTTTTATTTATAAACTTCAGGAAAATGTGAAGTCCAAAGCGATCATATTATCAATAGATATATAATCCAGGAAATTCATATCTACAATCTTTTCTTTTATTAAACACTTTTCACCCTATGGCCACTAACAGAACTTTTTTTAATCATATCTATTATTAGACCCACAATGGGGACTTTATTGTTAAGAGAAAAGTATGATGTACAGGGGAAAGCCACTAATAATTTGACGTGGCGAGCGTATACTGTATGATTAAAAATTGAAGCTCGCCATTACGCCAATAGGTAACACGTAGCACTTGCCACTCGGATTTTTTTCATTTCTGAACGGGACTTTCTTAATTAATTCTAATAAGTGCATTCCAGTAGCCGAGTGCATAAAATCATCGAACTCTGGTGTCAGTTTGTCGTGGGTTCGTTCATGGAACCTGTTAGTACTGTTACCCGGAAAACTGTTTTCCGGGTTTTCTTCACGTTAGTAATAGCCAAATAGGATCCAGATTTACATAAAAGTACCGTATATCTTGTGGGCAGATCGCTCACGTAAGCTAAAATAACCAAACTCTTTATATGGTTTTGGTTTTAATGTTCGTTATAGTATAGTATTTGATTTATATAACTTGGTGTGGTTTATCACATCAAGTATTTATACTTGGTGTGATAAACCCTTACGCAAGATATTGTAATTATAAATCAAACACTATAATATAATATAAGGATTAGAAGTACGAAATAATCGAATAATCTTAACTTTTTCAGCTATTTTTTCTCCAATAATGCCGGGATCATCTGCTAGTTTCTTATATAATCTTATTTTATTTTAAGTTTTACGAAACGAAAATAAATTATTTTAATTAGAATTTAAACTTTTCTAGGCCTACACATTTAATTTTCTATTATAATATTAATAACTTATATAATTTTGCATTATCTTGTTACTTTCCCAGCTGTTATAAATATTAATAAGATACTGTACTT